CCTCCCACTGACCGTTGCTCTTGGCAGGGTGGACGGCAGGTACTCACTGGTCTCTGGGCTCAGGACAAGTGCTCAGTAGGTCTAGACAGGTGGGTGGTGTAGGGTTTGAGGTAATGGTGACTAGAGCTGACCCTTATATTATGATGTCCTCTGAGGTGACTAGCTAGGTCCCAGACTAAGGGACCTTGACTGTAAATCTGTGACCTTTGGTAGCATTGTTGCGTGCCTCTTAGCAGTCCACTCCCTTACTCCTTCCCTCACCTGCACACTCATTCAGACACTTGATGACCATCTACCATGAGCCAGGCCTGTGCTCTGCAACACAGATGAGGAGAAGGAGACAGAGCCTCTGTGTTCAGTCTACTGGTGAGAAATCCTAAGTGTTTGGGGAATTGAGATGATTAGTTTTGTCAACTGGCTAGGCTACAGTATCCAGGTATCGGGTCAAACGTTATTTCAGATGTTTCTGTGAAGGTATTTTTTAGATAAGAGTAACATTTAGATTGGTAGACTTTGAGTAGAGCAGATTCCTATCCAGAATGGGGGTGGGCCACATCCAATCAGTTGACAGCCTTCATAGATAAAGGACTGATCTCTAAATGAGGCAGAATTCTTCCAGTAGACTGCCATTGGGCTTGAACTGCAATATCAGTGCTGTCCTGGGTCTCCAACTTGCTGGCTTACCCTGCAGAGTTCCAGCCTCAGTTGGCACATTTGCCCAGGTCAATTCCTTAAAACAATTTCTCATTCTCCCTCTCTCTCTCCCCCCTACACACACACACACACACACACACACACACACACACACACACTTCTGTTTCTCTGGAGAACCCTAACTAATACAAAAATCCAGTCTCTATTCTATTGCCCTCTTGATGACTTTGGCATTTCAATAAACGATTATTTTTCCTGATGATAAAATCTACACTGTGGAAAACAGAAAAAATAAAGAAATAGTACCAAGATGGCCACTGTAAGCATGTGCTGAAAGTTCTATGTTTTTTTTCTATGCACATATTGGCATGTATACCCAACAAAACTGGAATCATGAGTCTTTATCCTGCTTTTTATTTTATTTTATTTTTTTAAAAAAACACATTGATTGTAAGCATTTAAAAAATGTCATTAAAATATATGGAGAGAAGTTTAGGGCCTGACCACTGGTCTGTTTTTGTTGGAAATTTAGGTTATTTCCTATTTTCTGTTATTATAAATAGCTCTACAAGGAAAGTTTTTGTACATAAATCTATGTCTGCCTCTGATTATTTCCTTAGGGAAGATTCCTGGAAGGGGAATTACGGAGAACTCCGGCCTCATAAACGAGAGAATTATGAAAAATGGAAGGGGAAAACGCAATAAATTAAATGAATTGGGTTGCTTGACTCATTTTAACTGAGAAAATAAGAAACACCTGACCTCCTCCAGGGCCGACCTCGTGGTCATCGGCTTACCGAGGGAGGCCGAGAGGCCGGCAGAAGGAGCCCTGGATTCGGAGCCAGAGCCTGGGGCTGAGCCTACTTCGTTTCTCTTTGCAGCCAGGACTCCTGGGTAAGGCCCTAACGTGGTTCGCTCCCACTTCTTTCTGTAAAGTGGAAAGTCAGTAAGTGCCCTGCTTAACTCCCAAGAGGTCTTGAAGAGCCGGGGATGGCTTGTGTGCGACTGGTCCCCTCCCCGACCTGGCCTTCCTCCTCCCCTGGGGGCTGGGCCTGCTCCTCTCCTGTGAGGTCCCCGTTAACCTGCCAGGACAAATCAGCAGCTCCCACTCACACCCTCTGCACGCTCCTTTCTGGGTGTATCATGCTGAACTGGAATGTTTGTCTGCACTTCTGCTCTCTCCAGCTGGCCTGTGAGTCTCACTCATCTTTTCTCTCCACTGGTGCTTAAGAGAGTGTGAGGCACGCAGGAGGTGCTCAATTAATGCTGACTGGTGAAACTGGAAAGTGCTAAACGAACATGATACCTTCCAGGAGCATTTATTAAGCACCAATGGTGTGTCTCTGAACTAAGGCGCTCACACTGCAGTCAAACGGATATTACAAAGGTTCAAGGCAGCCCTGGCTAAGGCTCTGGTTTGTTTTGCAGACGCAAAGCATGGTGGGAGCTTAGAGCAGAGCAGGGAGCCAGGCTGAGGGCTGTGGTGGTCGGGGACCCTTCCGGAGCTGGGCCTCTGAGAAACATTGGCCTTAGACCAGGAGAGAAGAAAGATGTTATTCCAGAAAGGGGAACTGAGGCAGCAGAGATAGCCCGGTGTGTGACTGTGTGGTCTGGCATTTGGTAGGGACACTTACTGAGTGAGTGACTGAGGACAGGGTGGCTGCGGATGCCTTCCCACAGGGACTGTCGACTTTGTCAGAGCAAAAATACCGCGTTGCCCAGTAAATATTAATGGAGTGTCTAATCAGCTCCTCATTTTGCAAATACAGTGTGAGCACGGTTTGGCTGGCTCTCCTTGGTACTGGGCACGTCACAGGCAGGCACTGCAACCGCCTCCCTCCCCGTGACGCCTGACCGTCAGCAGACCGGTGGCCGGGATGTGCCTCTGCTCTGTCGGATCAGCTTCCACGAGCGAGTGAGTGACACACAACTCTGAGGTGTCCTGCTGTGTAATTCACTGTTCCCTCAGACTATCAAAAAGCCACTCTATCCATCCTGATCTGGCTGCCATCTGTGTAGAAGTCACATTGTTTGCCAGAGACTGAGAATCGGGAGTTGAAGGGTTTATTCCAAAGCCATCACTAAATTGCCAAGTAATCCCGACAGACCATATATTTTGCCTCTCAGTATCTTACTTTAGGTAAGAGATTGAAACTCACCTTTGACATTGATGGGTCGTGACATTTTTCAGTTACAATTAGATTCAGCTGTGAACTCAGGGGGCATTTAAATGAGATAGTGGTCAGTCCTTTCGCACACACGAGAAGTCCAGAGCGATGCCGCCCAGAGATTGTAGGTCGGCTCCGTTGGCACCAGAGATACAAAGCCCTCGTCTCACCTTCGCCCTCCCTTGGATGTGGCAGCTTCGTGTCCAAGATGCCTGCTTTGATGTCAGCTGTCTCAGCCACCTGCCAAACGGCAAGACGGAAGAAGGCAAGGGAGAGGGTGCAACTTCTCCCCCCTACAGAACTTTCTAGAAATCCCACACCGCACTTCTGCTTACATCTCATTGGCCAGAACTTAGTCAGCTGGCCCCCCCTAACGGGAAGGAAATCTGGGCCGTGTCGTCCTGTGGCTGGGTCTCGGTGCCCTGCTCAAAGCCAGGGCTCAGGTCAGTCCAAAGGGAAGAAGGAGATGCTTTGTCGATGGGCCCCTAAGAATCTCTGCACAAACTTGATTGCACCCGTCATTATTTCGATTCACTTCAGAAGCAAAGCAGTGACCCAAATGAATGGAAGAAATGTGCAACAATGTCACCCTGGAGGGAAAAACACAGTCTGTGCCCTGAATCTGAGGCTCTACTACTTCCAAGACGCTGGATCAGGAGCTTGGAGCCCTCATGAGAGGACTGATGTGTAAGTACTCTAAACTGTACACACAAAATATAAAATACTTGTGTTTATTTATTGTTTTAAATAGGGTATTGACTAACATCTGAATAGGCACCTTTTGTTTTGCGAATGTAACAATTATTTTTCACTGTCATGGTTGATAATGACAGATTCGATGATTGTAACCTGATGTATTGTGAAATATACACGGTGGAAAAATGCAGAAGGCATCCATGTGACTGACTTTTAATAATGTAACCCAATCTCGTCCAGAGCTCTCAGAGGAAGGAAAAGGGGCCTTCCGTCCCGTCACCCACATTTCAGACGGGAGGAAATAGGGCGGACGACTTTCCCAAGGCTCACGGCTCGTGGTGGGTCAGAACTTGAACCCGGGCCTCCCAGCCCCAGAGCCCATGTGCTGTACCGACGGCTACCTCTCAGCGACGACGACAGAGATCCCGTGACGTTCGGCTGAGCAGAGAGGCGAGAAGCTGCTGGCGAGTGTAACGGGATGGAGAGCAGCGCAGTCGCGGGGGGATTTACACGCTCAGGAGTGTAACGGGATGGAGAGGAGCGCAGTCGCGGGGGGATTTACACGCTCAGGAGTGTAACGGGATGGAGAGGAGCGCAGTCGCGGGGGGATTTACACGCTCAGGAGTGTAACGGGATGGAGAGGAGCGCAGTCGCGGGGGGTTTACACGCTCAGGAGTGTAACGGGATGGAGAGGAGCGCAGTCGCGGGGGGATTTACACGCTCAGGAGTGTAACGGGATGGAGAGGAACGCAGTCGCGGGGGCTTACACGCTCAGGAGTGTAACGGGATGGAGAGGAGCGCAGTCGCGGGGGCTTACACGCTCAGGAGTGTAACGGGATGGAGAGGAGCGCAGTCGCGGGGGGTTCACACGCTCAGGAGTGTAACGGGATGGAGAGGAGCGCAGTCGCGGGGGGTTCACATGCTCAGGAGTGTAAAGGGATGGAGAGGAGCGCAGTCGCGGGGGGTTTACACGCTCAGGAGTGTAACGGGATGGAGAGGAGCGCAGTCGCGGGGGGTTTACACGCTCAGGAGTGTAACGGGATGGAGAGGAGCGCAGTCGCGGGGGCTTACACGCTCAGGAGTGTAACGGGATGGAGAGGAGCGCAGTCGCGGGGGGTTCACACGCTCAGGAGTGTAACGGGATGGAGAGGAGCGCAGTCGCGGGGGGTTCACACGCTCAGGAGTGTAAAGGGATGGAGAGGAGCGCAGTCGCGGGGGGTTTACACGCTCAGGAGTGTAACGGGATGGAGAGGAGCGCAGTCGCGGGGGGTTTACACGCTCAGGAGTGTAACGGGATGGAGAGGAGCGCAGTCGCGGGGGCTTACACGCTCAGGAGTGTAACGGGATGGAGAGGAGCGCAGTCGCGGGGGGTTCATACGCTCAGGAGTGTAACGGGATGGAGAGGAGCGCAGTCGCGGGGGGTTCACACGCTCAGGAGTGTAAAGGGATGGAGAGGAGCGCAGTCGCGGGGGGTTCACACGCTCAGGAGTGTAACGGGATGGAGAGGAGCGCAGTCGCGGGGGGATTTACACGCTCAGGAGTGTAACGGGATGGAGAGGAGCGCAGTCGCGGGGGGTTCACACGCTCAGGAGTGTAACGGGATGGAGAGGAGCGCAGTCGCGGGGGGTTCACACGCTCAGGAGTGTAAAGGGATGGAGAGGAGCGCAGTCGCGGGGGGTTTACACGCTCAGGAGTGTAACGGGATGGAGAGGAGCGCAGTCGCGGGGGGTTCACACGCTCAGGAGTGTAACGGGATGGAGAGGAGCGCAGTCGCGGGGGGTTTACACGCTCAGGAGTGTAACGGGATGGAGAGGAGCGCAATCGCGGGGGGTTTACACGCTCAGGAGTGTAACGGGATGGAGAGGAGCGCAGTCGCGGGGGGTTTACACGCTCAGGAGTGTAACGGGAGGGAGAGGAGCGCAGTCGCGGGGGGTTTACACGCTCAGGAGTGTAACGGGAGGGAGAGGAGCGCAGTCGCGGGGGGTTTACACGCTCAGGAGTGTAACGGGAGGGAGAGGAGCGCAGTCGCGGGGGGTTTACACGCTCAGGAGTGTAACGGGAGGGAGAGGAGCGCAGTCGCGGGGGGTTTACACGCTCAGGAGTGTAAAGGGATGGAGAGGAGCGCAGTCGCGGGGGGTTTACACGCTCAGGAGTGTAACGGGAGGGAGAGGAGCGCAGTCGCGGGGGGTTCACACGCTCAGGAGTATAACGGGATGGAGAGGAGCGCAGTCGCGGGGGGTTCACACGCTCAGGAGTGTAACGGGATGGAGAGGAGCGCAGTCGCGGGGATTTACACGCTCAGGAGTGTAACGGGATGGAGAGGAGCGCAGTCGCGGGGGGATTTACACGCTCAGGAGTGTAACGGGATGGAGAGGAGCGCAGTCGCGGGGGGTTTACACGCTCAGGAGTGTAACGGGATGGAGAGGAGCGCAGTCGCGGGGGTTTACACGCTCAGGAGTGTAAAGGGATGGAGAGGAGCGCAGTCGCGGGGGGTTTACACGCTCAAGAGTGTAAAGGGATGGAGAGGAGCGCAGTCGCGGGGGGTTTACACGCTCAAGAGTGTAAAGGGATGGAGAGGAGCGCAGTCGCGGGGGGTTTACACGCTCAAGAGTGTAAAGGGATGGAGAGGAGCGCAGTCGCGGGGGGTTTACACGCACACCGTGCTGAGTGCCGGGTGAACGCAGGACGGATTCGCTTGGAATAAACAGCGTCTGGCGAGATGAGCGCCAAGCCGCGCTCCCAGACTTCAGATTTTACTATAAATGAAATAAAGGGAGAGAGAAAGGACACATCTTTGGCAACCCTTTCTCCTTGTCACTATTTTTGGTTCCCTGTCTCAAGAAAGTTTTAAAGATTTCCTTGTAAGGACAGGAGAAAAAAATCATGTCTCGACCCCACGACCTCAGTGGAGGCAACCCTGAGTGAACAGTCCTCGTCTGGAGCAGTTGCAAAGAGCTGGTAGCAGGCTGTGAAGTCTTCCCACCCACCCCCGAGCGCACACACTGATGAAACCAGTCCAGCCGTTTCAGAAGTGGTCTCTGGAAATCATTAACCTCTGAGATGCAGACACGGAACGCCCCCGGCGGAATGAAGGGTGCCCCTCGGAAGGAGGCGGCCTTTCTTCCTTAAGCAGGCCTGGAGCCAGCCCTCTGAGCGCTGTCTGCTGACATGGATTTGGTTCTCAGAGGCTCCCCGTTCGTTTCTGGGACTTCTCCTGGGCGGTGCAAAGAAGAGAGGCAGTAAGGCGCATGTGTCCCCGGATGGATTCGGAGACCGGTTGTAATTGTGCTGGGCAATCAGGAGTCAAGAATAATTTTTCTCTCACAAAAAATGTTGTGCTCACCCAGCTCGTGTATTTATGAAACACACACTTAAATGATGTTTCTTGCATGCCATGTAGGGACTTTACAAATACAAACTCACTCAATGCTCTTAACCCTCTGAAGGAGGCATTGGTTTCCAGTGGGGAAACCGAGGCACATAGGTGTAGTGAGCTTGTAAGTGAACCCAGGGCCCATGCCCCAAGCCTCTGAGCATGCTCTCATCTTCCTGAATCCAGAGGCTCAGGAAGAAGGTCTATTTGAAGAGTACAGGTTATAATAAGATGTATTTCACTCAGTGCCTTGTATAGTACATCACTGACAAGAAAACACTACTACTTCTGATGCCTAACATGGGGTTACTCCTACACCAACTACAGGGCAAGACACGAGGGAGCTCAGAGCTTCCCTGCCCCCAGGCGCAGCACCCTCCCAGCTCCTCCATGGGGTCACCATCTCCAAAGCGCTCCCATCCCCTTCAGTCAGGGTCTTTTATGGAGGCTTCGATACACATGCATGATCGAGTCAATCACTGGTCACTCATGATTAACTCAGACCCTAGAGGTGGGGAGGGGGCCCTGGAAGTTCTAACCTCTGATCATAAGGAAAGGAAGAAAAGACAGAGGGAGGAAGAAAGAAGGGAAGGAAGAAGAAAAAGCAGAAGGGAAGGGAGGGAGGAAGGAAAGAAGGGAGAGAGGAAGGAAAGGAGGAAGAAAAAGTAGAAGGGAGGGAGGGTCATTGCACACCAGGAGGGAGGGAAGATCATTGCACACCAGGAGGGAGGGAGGGTCATTGCACAGCAGGAGGGAGGGAGGGTCACTGCACAGCAGGAGGGAGGGAGGGTCACTGCACAGCAGGAGGGAGGGAGGGTCATGGCACAGCAGGAGGGAGGGAGGGTCATTGCACAATAGGAGGGAGGGAGGGTCACTGCACAGCAGGAGGGAGGGAGGGTCATTGCACACCAGGAGGGAGGGAGGGTCACTGCACAGCAGGAGGGAGGGAGGGTCATGGCACAGCAGGAGGGAGGGAGGGTCATTGCACACCAGGAGGGAGGAAGGGTCACTGCACAGCAGGAGGGAGGGAGGGTCATTGCACAACAGGAGGGAGGGAGGGAGGGTCATTGCACACCAGGAGGGAGGGAGGGTCATTGCACAGCAGGAGGGAGGGAGGGTCATTGCACAGCAGGAGGGAGGGAGGGTCATTGCACACCAGGAGGGAGGGAGGGTCATTGCACAGCAGGAGGGAGGGAGGGTCATTGCACACCAGGAGGGAGGAAGGGTCATTGCACAGCAGGAGGGAGGGAGGGTCATGGCACGCTGGGAGGGAGGGAGGGTCATGGCACGCCTGGAGGGAGTACTGTTTGGGCGTTTTCTCTGAAGGATGTTGCTGCTGCTGTGCATCAAGCTCTACCTGACTCTTAGCTTCCTCTCTCTCGTGGGGATTATTACAGCTTTCCTGAGTTCATTATGATTTATTTTGTTTATAAATATACATCGAATTGGATCATGTGTGTTGACATACTTTAAAAAACAAACTGATATGTACATGAAATACTTTTGTAATTATTATGGTCAAGCCGGCTCACTTGTTCTGTTTTCAATTTTCCTGACTCAACCCTTCATTTAACTTTGGGGTGAAAAAAAAGAAGACTCAAAAACCTAAAATTCTCATATTCTCCATAAGTCATTAAAACCAGCTACTAATCTTTCTCCCTTTGGCAGAACATTCCAAATATTACACCGCTCCCCCAAATGCAAAACATTCATTATTATAATGACACCTTCATAAAGGGAACACTTTCCGAATGGCATTCATCCAAAATCTTCAAGTACACTAATCTTCAAGGCTTGAAAATGTTTTATTGGCTTGCAAATGTTCAGACCTTCTGTTTACCACGAGAATAAGGGTGATACACCTTATGATTATCTGTTATCTGCAGAATTTTACTTACACGAAGCTTCGTTCTACGAGGCTCCTTCCGTATTAGTTCTCACTTAATCACAGAGCAGGGACTCATCCCCTTTGGGTGTTTACTGTGTCTTTTCTTTTCCTGGGAGTTTCGACTGTAGACAGTAAGGCCACATCAGAAGAAGGCCAGGGCTGGGGAGGGGCCCCCTGGATCTATTATAGAATACAGGTTTTCTATGGCGTGTATATTCCAAGTCAAATATAACTTTTCTGGGCTTACCTCTTTTTGTCTGTTACACCCACCTTTCTGTTCTGGTCCCTCAGCTTGGATGATGGAGATTCAACTCCATTTTACATTCCTCCCCATCCATTCATTTCCCAACGGATTTCATCCAGGGGCCCACCCCCCGCCACTTCACTGAAACTGCCCTCAGTTGCCCGTCAGGGGACATATTTCAGGTTCTGGGAAAACAGAGACAAACAAGATCTCATGACCTCTGGGAGAGAGACCCAGGTAAGCAAACAGATACCATGTCGGAAAGGCTTTGGCAGGAGTTTGGGGAGCGCTGAAGGCACCCACTGACCCATCGGCCGCACTGGAGATCCTGGCATTGTGGTCTGACTGTGTCCCCCTAAGTCTCTGCACTTCTCCTCCCATCAGGCCTCCTGCTTCTCAGAGGACACAGATGGTACGCCTCTGTTTTTACAGCGATTTCCTAGCCCTGGCCTATTTGGCTCAGCGGTTGGAGCGTCAGCCTGTGGACCAGAGAGTCTCGGGTTCGGTTCCCGCTAGGGGCACATACCAAAAAAATAAAAAATAAAGCAATTTCCTTGAGCAAGCAGGTGTCAACTGAGTAAGTGAACATCAGCGAGTGGAGCTGCAGGCTTGGTGGCCAGCATTCGGGAGCCTTAATGTGCAGTGGCGATGGCTTAGTGCCAAGGCCGGCCAGGCCGATGCACCTCCTCCTTCTGCAGATGTTCTACTTGGCTTAACATCTGGCGAGTGCCACCAGCTGTGGTCAGGGCTAGGGCTTTGGAGTCAGATGGATTGGGACTTCAGGTCCTGGGTCTGCCATTTATTAGCCATGTAACCTTACCTCCTGCTAAAGAGGACCAGTAACACTCACTGAGAAAATAAACGTAGAGGGTGTAGCGTAGAGTAAGTGCCCTGAAATTGCAGCTAATAGTATCATTATTCTTCTGCCTGAAGTCAAGAAATATATCAAAGACATCTTTAAAGTGTACTAATGTGAGAGGAGAATGATGAGAGAAGCCCTTCCTTTCTACAAAAGAGCTGAGATGTCAGAGAGGCAGCTGGCCTTTGTTTATTTTTCCTAAGGCCACTTCCAACTGAATAGCCCATCATTGTGTAACTGGCCTCATCCAGTGGTTATAGACACACAGTAAGAAGCCTGCCCAACGCCCTGGGCCTGCTGGTGCTGCAGGTGGTCGCTAAGGCTCAGACAAGCAGGGCCACACACCTCTCGAACCTCCGGAAGAATCAGAGTCCTGCTTTGCACAGGTTTCCGAGACTAGCACTCAGGTGTCTCCTTTAACCTGTTCCCATAGTAACTGGGCTCTTACCTGGCCCCTGCTTCTTGGAGAGAAGGTGATTTCATTTTGGATACACAATGATGTAATTAGACAGTGAATGTGGACTTGCTCTGGGGTGTTTTCTACCACCACCACCACCCCTCCCCCCCCCGTACGTAACCTTTCTCTGGTGTCTGTTCTTTTTTTTTTTAATCCTCACCTGAGAACATTTTTCCATTTTTTGTTCAGATAGAGTGGGAGGGAGAGACAGAGAGAGAGAGAGAGAGAGAGAGAGAGAGAGACACACACACACATCGACGTGAAAGGGACATATCGAGAGGCTGCCTCCCACACGACCCAACCAGGACCAGGGACAAACTGCAACCGAGGTACATGCCCTTAGCGGGAACCGAACCCGGGTCTCTCTGGACCGCAGGCTGATGCTCTAACCGCTGAGCCAAACAGGCCAGGGCTGGTGTCTGTTCTTAAATGCCCTGTTGCTAGCAGCCCAGTCACGAAATGGAAAATAACCTTAA